ATTCCATTATCATCCATATGTTTATCCAATGACCATTTAAATGCCCTAAAAGTTGGCGAGTCTACTACTTTTGCAGGCAGGGCATTCCACGCCCTTACTACTCTCTGAGTAAAGAACCTACCTCTGACATCTGTCCTATATCTATCACCCCTCAATTTAAAGCTATGTCCACTTGTGCCAGCCATCACCATCGGAGGAAAAAGGCTCCCACTGTCCACCCTATCTAATCCTCTGATCATCTTGTAACTTGGATTGTTTTTGTTGAAGAGCTGAAGGCTGAGAGGAGTGACCTAATAGAAGTATATAAAATTGAGAGGCATGGATAACGTGGATAGTCAAGTCTTTTTCTTAGGGTGGAAATGTGAGATACTCGGGGGCATAGGTTTTAGATGAGAGGGGGAAAGTTTATAGGAGATATATGAGGCAAGTGTTTACACAGAAGGGGTAGGTGCCTGGAACACATTGCCAGGGGATGTGGTAGAAACAGACATGACACCAACGTTTAAGAGGTATTTAGATGGACAAATGTACAAGCAAGGAATAGAGGGATATGGATCATGTGGAGGCAGATGGAATTAGTTTAGAATGGCACCATGGTCAGCACAGACATGGTGGGCTGAAGGAACTGTTCTTGTGTTGTACTGTTTCATGTTCTATGTTCACTGTTGTTTGAAACAGGCTGATCTAGGATGCACTAACTCATTGAGTGACAGTATTTTATCTGTGTTCTGATTTTTTTTTACCGCATGCTTTGTTTATTCATCATTCTGCTAGTGGAAACAGAATAAGAATGCCTCTGTCAAATCTCCCGTTAACCTTCCCTGCTGTAAGGAAAACATTTCAGCTTCTTTGGGAGTCTTTCATCCTTGGTATTGTAATCTTGGCCCATTAACAGCGTAAAAGCTAGGTGTCTATAACTTTTTTTTATTCTGTCTTTGCAGATTTGGAATCTGGCAAGTAATCGCCTCAGTTTTCTGAATTCATTTAAAATGAAAATGTCAGTGATCCTGGGCATTATTCACATGACCTTTGGGGTCATTCTTGGAGTCTTTAATCACTTGTAAGTTCCTCTAGAGCTAACACACAGCACCAAGAAAAATTGTGTTTGACTAGCTTAGAATCATAGAATCCCGAACAGTGCAGAAAGAGGCCATTCAGTCCATCGATTTTTCACTGACCCTCCGAAGAATATTCCACCCAGACCCAGTCCCCCTACCCTATCTGGACTGTGTGAAAAAACTGGAACACCCAGAGGAAACCCACGCAAGGAAAATGTGCAAACTTTACACAGTTGCCTGAGGCTGGACTTAAATCTGGGTCCCTGGTGCTGTGAGGTAGTAGTGCTAACCACTGAAATACCATGCTGCTCCACTCTGAGAGAGAGTGCAAATAAATAAATAGGGGAACAAGTTGGATTTCCAAAAGGCATTGATGAGTCACTCCATAAATAGTAGCATATGGTATATGGAGTAAAGTATCAGAAGGATTATTTATCTAAGACTTGGAAGCAAAGAGTTGGGACAAATGGATCATTTCCAGGTTGGCAAACCATAACTACTGGAGTGCTGCAGAGATCAGTAGTGGGGGTTTCAATTATTTTACAATCTATATCAATGAATTGGTGTACAGGGTTATGGGGATAGGGTGGATAAAGACATTGAAGTGTTCATTTAGCCATGATGGTATTGAATGGTGGGGCAGGCTTTTAATAGGCTGAGTGGCCTACTCCTGTTCTTGCGTTCCTAATGAATTACATGCAGGGACCACATACATGATAGCTAAATTTGCCATTTACTTTCTTAGTTATCTTGGTGTAGGTTACCAGGGGGAGGTAATAAATAAACAAAGGGACACATAAATAGGATAAGTGAGTGGGCAAAATCTTGGCAACTGAAGCAAGTGAGAAATGTGAATTTGTCCACTTTATAAGGAAGAATAGAAAAGACAGTGTATTATTTAAATAGAGGGAGAGATTGCAGAACTCTGAGGTACCGAGGGATCTGGGTGTTCTGCTACATGAATCACAAAACATTAGTTTGCAGGTACAGCAAGTAATTCGGAAGATGAATGGAAATTTTTTTTTTCCCCAATTCGTTCACAAGCTATGGGCATCTCCGGCTGGCCACCATTTGTTACCCATCCCTAAACACTAGGAGGACAGTTAGGAGTCCATCCATACTGTTGATAGTCTGAACTCCCAGTAAGCCAGACTAGGTAAGGATGGCAGATTTCCTTTCCCTGAGGATCATGAGTCAACCAGATGGGTTTTTATGACAGATGACAGTGCCAGGCTTCTCATTACTTATCTTAATATCTCCTTATGTGGCTCGGTGCAGGTTTAGTCAGGTAATGCTCCTGTAAAAGACTTTGAGCTGCTTTACTACATTAAAGATGCTTTGTGAATGCAAGCTGTTAATGTGCTAAGAGGAGGCTGGTAAGAGAAGAGAAAGGAATCTGTTAGTAATTGGAAACCAAAAGAACTGCGGATGCTGTAAATCAGGAACAAAAACAAAGTTGCTGGAAAAGCTCAGCAGATCTGGCAGCATCTTTGAAGGAGAAAACAGAGTTAACGTTTCGGGTCCGGTGACCCTTCCTCAGAACTGATGGTGGCTGGGAAAATGTCAGTTTATATGCAGAAAATGGGGAGGTGGGTGGGGTAGGGAGTAAATGCTAGGATAGAGCCCAAAGCGAGAGAAAGACAGTTGGACAGACAAAGGAGTTACTAATGATCAGGCTGGGAGGGTGAATGGTTGTTAATGGGGACTGTTAGTGACTAACAACAGGGGGTGTGTAATGGCAGGCTATGTGGTAACAAGGTCTGGTGTGTGGGGTGGGGGGCTGGGACATGGGAGAGTTTAGGCCCTAAAATTATTGAACTCAATATTGAGTCCGGAGGGCTGTAGGGTCCCCAAGTGGAAAATGAGGTGTTGTTCCTCCAGCTTGCGTTGGGCTTCACTGGAACACTGTAGCAAGCCAGAGACAGAGATGTTGGCCAGGGAGCAGGGTGGTGCATTGAAGTGGCAGGCAACAGGTTGTTCAGGGTCTTTTTTGCGAGCAGAATGTAGATGTTCTGCGAAGCGGTTGCCAAGTCTACGCTTCGTTTTCCCGATGTAGAGGAGACCACATTGTGAGCAGCCAATGCAGTAGACTAGATTCTGGGAAGTGCAGGTGAAATGTTGCTTCACCTGGAAGGTATGTTTGGGCCCTTGGATACTGAGGAGGGAGGCGGTAAATGGACAGGTGTTGCACCTTTGCCGGTTACAGGGGAAGGTGCTGTAGGGCTGTGGGGAGGTGTTGGGGGTGAAGGAAGTGTGGACCAGGGTGTCCCAGAGGGAACGGTCCCTGCGGAAGGCAGACAAGGGAGGGGGGGAATATGCGTCTGGTGGTGGCGTCTTGCTGGAGGTGGCGGAAATGACATCTGATGATCTTCTGGATGTGGATGCTGGTGGGATGGTAGGTAAGGATAAGGGGAACCTTATCGCTGTTGTGGGAGGGAAGAGAAGGGGTGAGAGCGGAAGTGCGGGAGATGGGTCGGACCTGGTTGAGGGAGCTGGGGAAACCTAGGCTGAGGAAGAAGGTGGACATTTCAGAGGCTCCCTTCTACTCGCAAAAAAGACCCTGAACTACCCGTTGCCTGCCCCTACAGCACTCCGGACTCAATATTGAGTTCAATAGTTTTAGGGCCTAAACGCTCCCATGTCCCAGCCCTGCACCCCACACACCAGGCCTTGTTACCGCATAGCCTGCCATTACACACCCCCTGTTGTTAGTCACTAACAGTCCCCATTAACAACTACTCACCCTCCCAGCCTGATCATTAGCAACTCCTTTGTCTGTCCAACTGTCTTTCTCTCTCTTTGGGCTCTATCCTATCGTTTGCTCCCTACCCCATCCACCTCCCTATTTTCTGCATATAAACTGACGTTTTCCCAGCCACCATCAGTTCTGAGGAAGGGTCACTGGACCCGAAACGTTAACTCTATTTTCTCCTTCAAAGATGCTGCCAGACCTGCTGAGCTTTTCCAGCAACTTTGTTTTTGCTCTTAGTAATTGGTATCAATATGCAGGAAGTATTTGAATTGCACATACAAGACTACCAAAGGAGATAAATGTCAAATCTGAGCTAGGTTAGTAAGTGAAATAATGCAGTAAATATTCTTCAGCTGTTACCAGGGGTTTGATTGAGGTGGGATGGTAGTTATGCATAGAGTTCAGAGGTTGGGACATTGTGACCCTGAATTGATCAGTAATAACATAACGATAATGCTGGGTTATGAATAACTAGTGGTTCAATGAACTGAATATTTAAATGTGGTTTGTGACGAGATTTGACACATTGCTCATGGTCTGTAGTCCTGTGTTTTTAGGCTGTACTATTTACCCTTTTAACAGAACATTCAGACAATTTGAAGCTTTCAGTGGTGTGTCTGCTATATTTTTTATATTTGTTACAAAATAATCACAGTAACATAATAATGAGGTCTCCTGCTAGAAAATCAATTCCTTGCCCAAGCTTGTGAAACGGACGTTAATTTTATTTTCATTTTTGTATAAACCAGGCACTTTAAGAAGAAATTTAATATTTACCTGGTATTTATCCCTGAACTGCTCTTCATGATGTGCCTGTTTGGGTACCTCGTGTTTATGATCATATATAAATGGTTGGCATATTCTGCTGCAAACTCCGATTTGGCTCCGAGCATCTTGATTCATTTCATTAACATGTTCGTCATGCAGCGGAACCAAGACGCAAAGCTTTACCCTGGACAGGTAGGTGTGTTGGTGCACATTGATCAGTTCTGTGTTTGCTGCGTGAAATTTTTGACAAACAATCTAAATTATTTCAATTTTAATAAATAAAGACATCACCTTCTCACAATCACATACAGTTTCTGTTTAGCATGCTGGCTGTATCAGTGGAAAATAACACATTCTTGGAAGAATATAGGAACAAGAGGAGGCCTTTCAGCCTCTCGGGTCTGTTGCTCAATGAGATCATGTGATCATGTTTGGTCTGTTTTCAAACTTCACAAACCACCTTGTTTTTAATACGCTCATTTTGCAAGTTTCTACCTTTGATTTCAAAGTAAAATTGAGCTGGCAGTAGGAGACAAAGTTCCACATTTTCAGTTTGCTTTGGGAAAAAGTGTTTCCCAACTTCTGTTCTTAGTGGTCTAGGGGTGATATGATCTTAAGGTTGAATCCCATTATCCTGGACCCCCCCATTCCCTTTACTATGCCACGCAGTTTAATCCCACTCTCCCCCTCACTTCCTGAACCCTTTAATATCCCACCCAGTGTAATCCGACTCTCTCACTCCCCACACACTTTCATATCCCAGTCAGTCTAATCCCACTTGCCCCCTCACTGCCTGCACCCTTTAATAACTCACCCAGTCTAATCCCACTCTCCCCCTCACTCCCCAGACCATACAATATCCCACTCAGTATAATCCCACTCTCCCCACTCTCCCCACTCTCCCCACTCTCCCCACACTCCCCACACTCCCCACACTCGCCACACTCGCCACACTCGCCACACCCTTTAATAACCTAATCAGTCTAATCCAACTCTCCCCCACAACCTTTAATATCCCACCCAGTCTAATCTGAATACAATACAATATGTGACAATAAAAGGACATTGTCTTGTATAAAACGATATTGTATTGTAACTAGTGGAGAACATTTCTCTCAATCGACTGTATCAATCCCTTTAGAATTCCTAAAATTCTGCATCAAAGCAGCCACTAAACTTTTAAATCTCAATGACCAAAAGAATCATTTATGAACATTCTCCTCATAATTAACATCTGGATGAATTTGTGCATTACTCCCTCCAGACCAGCCTGCCATTCTGAAAATGAGCTATCTACTATACAAAGCTGCAACTGTGATTAACAGGGCTTTGTTTAACTGTCAAACATAGAAACATAAAACATATAATATAAAAGATGGGAGCAGAGGAGGCCATTCAACCCTTCGAGTCTGCTCTGCTATTCTTCACGATCATGGCTGATCGTCCAACTCAATAGCCTTATCCTGCTTTCTCCCCATAACCTTTGATCCCATTTGCCCCAAGTACTATATCTAGTCGCCTCTTTAATACATTGTGTTTTGGCATCAACTGCTTCCTGTGGTAATGAATTTCACGGGCTCACCACTGTTTGAGTGAAAAAATGTCTCCTCATCTCCTTCCTAAATGGTCTATCCCTAATCTTCATACTGTGACCCCTGGTTCTGGACATACCCACCATCAGGAACATCCTCCCTGCATCTGTCCTGTCCAGTCCTGTTAGAATTTTGTAAGTCTCTGTGAGATTCCCCCTTCATTCGTCTGAACTCTAGCAAAAACAATCCCAACCTAGTCAATCTCTCCTCCTATGTAAAACCCAGAATCAGCCTGGTAAACCTTCGCTGCACTCCCTCAAGAGCAAGAGCATCCTTTCTCAGAAAAGGATACCAAAACTGCACACAATATTCCAGGTAAAACTTCCTCCTGTTTACGTTCTAGCCCTGACAGTAGCCTTTTTGATTCAGCATGGCTGCTATGTTTTGATGATCTGTGTAAATTTAGTTTAGAACAAGCAACTTGCAGGGGACCACTCGTCCCAAGGGTGCAGCCCTCCTTCAGTACTGCTCCCTGGATAGTGCAATACTCCCTCAGAGCTGTCACCCAATGCACCTCTGACAGTGGCAGTGCTCTCTCAGCATGCCCCACCCCCACCAATAGTGCAGAGCTCCCTCAGAGCTGTCACTTAGTGCCAGTGCTCTCAGTTCTACACCGGAGTGTAACTGCAGATAATGGCCTGGTGCAAGGGCAGTGATACAACTCCTGGGCTCTGTGTTGCTCCCGGCTTGGACTCCTGAACGTACCCACTGAACCAAGCACAGCAAGGCTCCTAAAGCCCAAGTTATTGGGGCCCTGTCCTTGAGTGACTGAAGTTGGGCTTAAGCTCATATCCCCTGACTCTGATGAGATGCACGATATTTCTGTTTAACTAGTTTTTTAAAAAATGTCCTTAATCATTTGCATTTCCTCTTTGGGAAATCTACTGGTTATTTTGACTCCACTGTATTTATAAGGTCATGCTTAGAATATGACCAAAGATACTGATTCAGCACCAAATCACTCAACAAACCATTCAGAATACCTTTCTTATAATTGGGTACTTGGTTCCCAAAAGTCAGAATTAATTGGACTCTGATTTGTTTTTAATAAATTAGTCTAATATAGACAAGTGTAACAATGATCAAATTCAGCAAAAGGTATTTTCAGAAAGTGAAGCTTTTGTAATGATACAAATGTTCATGAATTTGTATTCTGTTTTGAACAGAATGGATGCCAAGTATTCCTGGTTGTGATTGCTTTACTATCTATTCCCGTTTTGCTGTTCGGAAAGCCAGGATATCTCTACTGGAAACATCATGGAGGAAGAAACTTTGGAACATACAGAGTAGGTCTTTGAATCACAGCAGTGTTTGAGTAATGAGATAACAAGATGTAGAGCTGGATGAACACAGCAGGCCAAGCAGCATCAGAGGAGTAGGAAAGCTGATGCTGCTTGGCCTGCTCTGTTCATCCAGCTCTACACCTTGTTATTTCAGATTCTCCAGCATCAGCAGTTCCCACTATCTCTGAATCAGTGTTTGAGTAATTATAGTTTTGGGCTTAAAAATGATATAGAACAGTACAGTGCAGGAACAGGCCCTTCTGTCTGCACTGACCATCATGTCATTCTAAATTAATCCAATCTGCCTGCACATTGACTATATTCCACTATTTCCTGCCTGTTCTCTATTCCCATGGCAATGAACAGTTGAAGGGAAGTAGAAAAGTTCATGAAAATCAGGCCTAATGCAAAAACAGCCTGTTTTGACTGGGAGGTAGCTACATTGTTCTGAATTGTTTGTGAAAACTGTCCTGTTGTACAGTTACATGGGGCCACCTGGATTTGTTTGTCAGCCTGTTTTAAAGATTGGAAAAGTACTGCAGCCATTGTGGAATGGAGATTCAGTAATCTTAGACTTAGAATAGTATTAATATCTGAGACTTTGTCGAACTTTTCACCATCGGGCTGGGGTTTGAGAGACTGTGCCAAGCAACCTCAGAGCTCCCAGTGCCACCGTCACCAAAGTCCCTGATGGACAGAAAGCAATTAGAGACTGACTTGTTTGTGTATATGTGATTATTATGTAGTTTATGTTAATAGATTCACTTATGTATAATATCTAATATATATTAACTAGATCTAAAATGGTGGACTGAGAATAGCATGTATCTTGCAGCTACTCCTGAGATTGCAGGCTTACTTCTAGATTTCTTACTTCAGACCTTAAAGAACCCATTAGGTACTTTCAAACTAACAATGTAGTAATAGAAATGGAATAAACACCAAAAGAATTGTGGATGCTGCAAATCAGGAACAAAAACAGAAGTTGCTGGAAAAGCTGGCAGCATCTGTGAAGAAAAATGTAGTATTAGACCTACTTTGATTCTCAGAACTTCTTCAAGTCTATGGGCCTATCTCCATCCATCTGCCACTGAAATCCTTCTCCAATCCTTTATTAATTCGCTCTGCAATGTCCTCTTTCCATCCAAACAATTTACCACCCCAGCTAAGTTGCCATTGACTGCAACTTTTCCTTTCTTCATCCATTGTTAATAACTATGATGAAAAGCTGAGCACAGATCCCTCAGATTCACTACATGACAGTGCTGTCAATCAGAAGACACACTGTTTATTACCTTCCAGCCCCTGTCACAGGATCCAATGGCATCTGTATTTGTATTACACTCCTACAATAACAGGATAGAATGTTTATTGCAGGGTTGGCAGAGGACAATGTAAAACTGTAAATGGTTTCAAAGCTAAGCTAATTCTGTCTGGTTTTTTCCTAATTAATTAGATATTACTTAAACATAGAATAATGCAGATCAGAAGGAGGCCATTTGGCCTGTAATGTCTGTACTGGCTCATTCACCTGTCCCTTCTGTTTCTATATAGCCCTGCAAATCGTCTCTCTTCAAGAATTTATTATATTCCCTTCCTACTGAATCTGTTTCCACTGCACTTACAGGCAGCATGTTCCAAATCTCACCAGCTCACTGTGTAAACATTGTTCCTAAATGTCACCCGTCATTCTTCTGTCAGTTGTCTTAAAGCTGTGTCTTCTGGTTACTGACCCTTCTGCAATTGGCAGCAGTTTAGAAATAGAAATCCTAGAGTGTGGAAGCAGGCCATTCAGCCCATTGAGTCCACATTGACCCTCTGAAGACCCAGACCCACCAACCTTCTCTATCCCTATAACCATGCATTTCCCATAGCTAATCCACCTAAACCTGCACATCCCTGTACACTGTGGGCAATTTAGCACGGCCAATCCACCTAACCTGCCATCTTTGGACTGTGGGAAGAAACTGGATCACCTGGAGAAAACTCACGCAGACACGGGGAGAATGTCTGTGTGGCGTTTGCACAATTGTCTGAGGGTGGAATCGAACCTGGGTCCCTAGCACTGTGAGGCAACAGCACTGAGCCATTGTGCTTCTTCTCCTTCTCCTCCTTTGATTGTTGAAAATCATGAATGGTTAATTCTCTCCTCAATCATCTCTTTTCTAAGGTAAACAATCCTAGCTTCTCCAGTCTGTCTGTGTTCACCCTGAAGTGTCTCATCTCTGATGCCATTCTAGTAAATCTCCTCCTTGTCCTTTCTGAGAACTGAACATCCTCATTAGAATGAAGTCTAAAATGTACTTCGACTAACTGCACTGAACGAATCACTGTTGCTTTCTATATAGAAAGGCTACACACTGGTCCGAAGAGGGAGTGAAGAGGAGATGTCACTGCTGAGAGCTCATGAAATGGAACAGGGAGAAATAGATTCAAACCACAGCAGCCAGACAAATGGATCTGAACAAGAGGTAGGACAGCAATCTGCTTTATGGTCGTTAATGTAGAAGTGAATTTTCTTATTGAGGAAGCTCTATTTTAATTAATTTTACTTCAGTGTCAATCAGTTTTAAACAATGGAAGTGATTCCTGAAGCATGCTTGTTCATTGGTCAGAATGAGGTGCTGTAACCTAGCATTAAATAGTAGCATGATTTTGCCTTTGGAATATTAGCTGTAGGTTTAAGCACCTGTCCTTCAAAAAGACAATGATACTTTAAGGATTCAAGGATGTTTGGCAACAATATTGGTCGATGGTTTTAGAATACAAGAATCGTGGAATTTTACAGTACAGAGAAGGCCATTTGACCCCGGGTGTCTGCATCGGCTCCTGAAAGAGTTACCCAGCTTGTCCCACTCTCCAGCCCTGCCTCTGTAGCCCTCTAAATTCATCATTTTCAAATATATATCTGGGTCTCTCTCAAAACTTCGTGTGGAATCTGCCTCCAACACTCTTCCAGGCAGCACATTCCGAATCCTAACAACTCTTGAGGCAAGAAGTTTCTCCATGTCTCACTCCTAGCTCTCTTGATGATGATCTTGAAATGCTGACCGTTGTTACTGATGTACTAACTGGTGAAAATAGAATATCCTTCTTTGTCTGCAATGTGGTGTCAGAAGCTTGGCTCTGACTGCATTCCTCCGAGGTACCAGCACCCTCATCAGCTTCCAAGACAGAATACTGGTTAGTGAATGGGTCCTCAGGGGTCTCCTGCACTACCTGCCTATTCTTGCTGGACTGTCTAGTGATCACCTTCTTCCTTCCAGTCCCTTGAGTTGTGGTGTGACCACTGCTTTAAACATGCTACCCACATTGTCTCAAGCCTCTCAGATGTGCCACAGTGTCTCCAATGGCTGCTCAAGCACCGAGACCTGGAGCTCCAGTTTCTGCAGCTGGGAGCACTTCCAACACGTGTGGTCATCTTGGACTCCCCACATGAGACAAACTGCACATTCTTCTTGGCTGGCCTCTCCTGACAGCTCCTAAATGTACAATTAATGCCTTAGACTAGAATTGTTAGTCTTATTTTGTTAGACTTTGTACTGTACCACTAAGGTTGTAAAAAGTTTAACTATGTTCCAGTTATAAGATGGGCTAGATACAGTGAGTTTGATCAACTCCTCTTTGCTTTGTGTTGTTTTAGTAAGATGAATTGGATTACAGTTTAATCTTAACTCAAAGTCAGTTAATTATGATAGTTTTACTTCAGCAAGGCTAAACAGCTAGTTTGCAATGCCGAATGCAGCAGCTGAGGTTACCACAAAGGACTTTCCTTCTCAATCTCTCACCTCATCTGAAGCAATGGTGACCCTCCTATTAAACCTTTCGCCAATACAAGAACAGCCCTATGGTGTTGTGGACTACTGACGATGGTATATCATGAGGAGTACACTGAAAATTATTTATTTATCACTTCCTTCAAGTGACTGAACCCAGGCCCCTCACTCCTCCCATTAACTTGTCTTGCACTCAGATTTTTGCTTCAGAGTCAGGGGAGGTGATAGCCTCGTGCTAATATCACTGGACTGTTAATCCAGAGACCCAGATAATATTCTGGGGACCTGGGTTCAAATCCCACCATGGTAGATGTGGAATTTGAATTCAGTAAAATATCTGGAATTAAGAATCTAATGATGACCGTGAATCCATTGTCAATTGTTGGAAAAACCCATCTGCTTCACTAATGTCCTTTGGGGAAGGAAACTGTTATCCTCACCTGGTCTGGCCTACATGTGACTCCAGACCCACAGCAATGTGGTTGACTCTTAACTGCCCTCTGGGCAATTATGGACGGGCAATAAATGCTGCCTAGCCAGCGATGCCCTCATCCCGTGAATGATAAAATAAATGTCCGGGACGGAGACATAATGTATTCTTTGAAAATATTAGTTAGCAGTGGAAGTGACTTTTTGTTCTTTTTCTCCTAGTTCAATTTTGGTGATGTTTTCATGCACCAAGCTATTCATACCATTGAATATTGCCTGGGCTGTGTATCTAACACTGCATCATACTTGAGGCTCTGGGCCCTCAGCCTGGCTCATGCTCGTAAGTAGATGTATTTACTTATTAATAAAACCAAGGCTTTTAAATCCCATGGATTTCATCGGTGTCATGCGTAACAATAAATTTTATGCACAAAAAGCAAAATTATTCCGGCAAAGTGTCAGGACTGTGTCATCTATTATGCTTAGTTGTATACTGAGTCTGTTAATGGTTTTATACCAAATTTAATTATGATTATATCCAGAACTTGATAAAAGTTATGTGGACAGCAGGTTAATGATTACGTGCTGTTTAATTTGTATTGTTACATTTTCTATTAACAGAACTTTCTGAGGTCCTGTGGGGGATGGTGCTGCATGTGGGTCTTCATATGGATAGTGATTATGGCTCGCTGTTATTGGTCCCCGCCTTTGCCTTCTTTGCAGTTCTAACTGTAGCCATTTTACTGGTCATGGAGGGACTTTCAGCATTCCTACATGCACTCCGACTGCATTGGTAAATTTATTATTTTTTTCTTGACAGAATTTTAAACTTAGATGGGTTTAGTAGCACAATGAAATATGTTGAAAATTATTACACAGAAAACTGAGTAACCTCAACATTCTAACGTTGTGATAGTGAAAGTTGGTGCTGTGAGGATAATGTCTGATGTGGAGTTATGATTTTTTGATGAAAAGTCATCATCATGAGCAAATATTCAGATAACTACCTTTACAATAAAGGTATCATTGTGATAGGAAACCTGAAAGTAAATTTTGCTGATTCTTCATCCTTAGATTGGCTGTTTCGTTTTTCACTGTCTCCACAACCCTTCATTATTGTATTAAGTTTAATCTCCTGCCTCTTGATTATATGGTCTCTTTCATTTCTTCTACGCCTTGCGCATAAAAGGAACTGTAGCATTTATCTTTGTCCCACTCGCTAACATCCTAAGCAAAAATATTGTGTCATGGACACTTGCCATTTGTTCCCCATCCTTTGCATCCCTTCATTACATCCCTGCCCCACAGTTTATTTAAAAAGAAGAGCTTGGTTTTCTCATTCCCCAAGAAGAAAATCAGCCATAGTCCAATCCCATTTGAAATTCCTCATTACTCCCCTCCCATTTCTCATGCTTTTCTGTTCTCTTGCCTGTTCTCCAGTTCCAACACACTCTCTTGCTCTTTCATTCTCCCACTTTCCTATTTGACATTCAGGTCTATGCTCACTTCTGTGGTTCTGGCTATTGCTGATAAGCCTGGAATTCAATTTCCCATTTAATTGCTTAGCCATGTCAGAGGACAAGCAACAATTAACCTTGTTCTTATGGGACAGAAGTGACAATGGGTTCATGGTCATCATTAGATTCTTAATTCCAGATATTTATTGAATTCAAATTCCACCATCTGCCGTGTCAGGATTCAAACCTGGGTCCCCAGAACATTACCTGGGTCTCTGGATTAACAGTCCACCAATAATACCACTAGGCCATTGCCTTCCTGAGGTCTCAACCTCTCTTCTGTCCTTTAAGACACAATCACAATTTAGACAGCACACCTTATTATTTGCAGTTCTGGTCTCCTTACCAAATAAAGGACATATTTGCCACAGAGGGATGTTTATCAGACTAATTCCTGGATTGGTGGGAATGGCCAGTGAGGAAATATTGCGGAGATTAGACCTGTATTAGCAAGAGTATAGAAGAATAAGAGGCAATTTCATTGAACAGTCCAAAATTATTAGGATAAAATGTAGAAAGGATGCTTCTTCGGGTTAGTAAGGGGGCCTAGAACCAAGGACACAATCTCTGAATAAGAGGCAGACCACGTAAGACTGAAATGAGTCACAGACTCATACAATACAAAAGAGGTCCCTTAGCCCAATTGAATCTCAACTCCTGAAAAGCAAACACATCCACACTAATCCTGCTTTCCAGCACTTGGCGCATAACTTTAAACGTTTCCTGCCCTCTCAGCCTGTGCATTCCAGATTCCCACCACACTCTGGGCGAAAGATTTTTCTTGAAATCCCCTCTAAAACTCCTGCTCTTCACCTTAAAAATTATGCCCATTGTTAATGGCCCTTCAATTAGCAGGAAATAGCTGCTTTGTATCCATCCTTATGTCTATGCCCCTCATAATCTTTTTACAGGTCCCCCCTCAGCCTCCTCTGCTCCAAAGAAAACAACCTGAGTTTATCCAGGCTCTCTTTATAGCTAAACTGCTCCATCCCAAGTAACAGCCTGGTGAATCCCCTCCACACCCCCTTCACTGCATTCATATCCCTCCCATAGTGTGGTGCCCAGAAAGCACACAGTACTCCAGCTGTGGCCTACCCAAAATTTTGTGCAGTTTCAACAAAACATCCCTGCTCTTAACCTATACCATGACTGATAAAAGAGATAACAAGGTGTAGAGCTGGATGAACACAGCAGGCCAAGCAGCATCAGAGGAGCAGGAAGGCTGACGTTTCGGGCCTAGACCTTTCTTCA